ATCAGCATGCTTTAGTCTAGCTCCAGTAGCTGCTCAGTTTAGGCTACAGGCTCCATAGTCGGCTATATTAGAGATCAGATGTGAAATTAAAGTTAATAACATACTACAAGCAACAAACATTAAGAAATCAGCAGGTACATTAGACTATATTTTGTCTCATTAACTAACTATATGAGTAGCCGCCTTTCCCTCTAGCTGGGCTTTGGTACAGACAGCCTTTTTATAACATGTTTAATGTGTGCTTTTACAATAATCAGTGAGTACAGAGATGCAAAAGAGACAAACAAAGAGAGAGAGACATAAATGAAAAAAAAATCAATTTGAAACTATCGCCTGATTTAATGTAGGTTTAATGTATTGTTTTAGGCTGAAAATAAACATAAATAAATAGTTAAATGATTAATTAAACTTAAACAGGGCAGTTGAAGTCAAATAGGTTTATGGAACATTAATAGCAGTTTATGGAAGAACGGAGGGATGAAGAAGGAACAAATGAAAGAAAAAGGTGCATAACAGTTATAGATGGCTAAGGAGTGATTGAATAAAAAAACAAAAGGAGAAACCTATTGTTGCTCTAATGCTCATATTTGGTAGTTATTTTAATCACAATCAGATGTGAGTAACATTTCTGCAAAATGGACCTCAAAATTTCTGATCCTAGTTACGGCCCTGTTAGCAGTTATACGTTAACTCCAGCGTTTAAGACCATTTATTGTTAAAACTGTGTTAGAACGATTATCAGAGCTGATTGTTATTTTACCTAAAAATCTAGTTCTGCTGTGGAGCTGTAACAGGACAGTAAAAGAGCCGTGTGTTGCTGACCCCTGCCTTAGCTAAAGTTGGAAAAACATTTTCATAATAGACTATTACTAATAGTACTCCGCAGAGCCAGGGTCACTGATAAAAATTTTGAGGCTGAAGTGTTGCTGAAGTTTAACAAAGGACTCTGAATGTCATGTCTATACAGATCTTGCTGAAATGTTTAAATTGGAGCAGTTTAAATTTAGCAATGACAATGCTTTGCACAAAATTGTTTGGTTTGTATTAGATTATTTTTGATTTTATTTTGATTTTTGTTAGGAAATGATTCTGGAATGATTGACTTTGCCTTTACTTAGTCTAAATTTTTGTTGGATATCACGCCTTTGGTTTGATTGTTGGTTACACTTGAACTGACTTTTTGGTGATCTTTTTGTATATTTGCGGCTTTTCAATTGCATGTTTCTTTCTGGCACTTGATTAAATGCAGTGTCTTGTTCACATTGTCAGTTGGGTTTGTTTGGTGTGTCAGGTGGAGATACACAAACAAAAAAAATGAGTTTGTGCAGTTAACAAAGGAACAAACTTTGTCATAACAGAGGAAAAGGAATCTCTGTGTCAGCATTTCACTGCTACTGACTAAGTTAATGTTAACATGCAGTTTGTGCTTTAAAGTTGCTGTCACAGCCGCTTTCAGAGAAACAGTTTCCATTTTCTCCCTGTAAAGCTGTCGGCATCTGAGAGAGCGAGTGCTCGTTCACTGAAGCTGATGGTTGTGTAAACATCTATGGTGGAACATGATGACCTGATCCCTGCCGGCATCTGTGCGTCTTTAGCTTTTGTCAGCTAGTTGGCAAGCAGTTTCAACATCTCCAGCTAACGATGCTAATCTAGCATTTTGGTTATACTTATTTTTACCTATCCAATCAATTTATCTCTCTGTATACATTAGCTGATGTTATTGTACTCTCATAGCTGTGAAGGAATTTTTCCACAAAGCATTTATATCCTTTATGTAGTTTGGAATCCCACATTTTTGTGTGTTTGGTTCTCCAACATGTTCGTGTTCTGAGACACATAAGCTGGACGCCAGTCCGGCTGCCGTCTTTTAAAGTTCAAAGCATAAACTTTGTCTCCTCTGCAGTCCACTTTCTGCTTCCGCCATGCTGAACGTTCAGGGTTGGGATAGCTACTGAAAAACTAGTAACTACTTTGTAGCTATTTTCCCAAAATTTGTAGCTTGCTACAATTTGGCTACTTTTCCAGAAGAAAAGTAGTGGCTACTTTTTAGCTACTTTTTGAAAAGTAGTGCACTATTTTTTAGCTACTTTTAAAGCGTGATTGTCAGAATGTTTGTGAATCTCCACCTGACACACCAAACAAGCCCAACTGATGTGAACAAGACACTGCATTTAATCTTGTGCCAGAAAGAAACATACAATTCAAAAACTGCAAATATACAAAAAGATCACCAAAAAGTAAGTTTAAGTGTAACCATCAATCTTAAATGCTGGAGTTAATGTATAACTGCTAATTCACCAACCTTTAATGCTGAAGACGTGCAGACTGCTGGTCACACAGCAACACAGATAACAGTCTCGCCTAGCTCATAGCTAACAAAATAGCAAAGAGAAAGATTTAAGATGAACATTGATAATTTGGCGACGAACAGACTTACTTGCATTTAGATGCACTCAGCTGTTTCCTGGTATGTTTAATCTGCAGCGAGCAACTGGTCAGTCTTTCGCCAGGTTCTCATTCAAATTTTCCTGTTCCACCTTAAATGTAGTGCTGCACCATTTAAGGTGGAATGGGACCATTTGAACAAGAAGCTGGTGAAGGAGAAGCTGACTTCAGCCTCATAAAAAAAAATCAAACATTGAGAGACATTTTACAAGGAACTATTCTACTTTTGAGGAAAAGTTTCCTGACTGAGATGTGAGAAATGCGGCTACAGCTGACCTAAATGTTAAAGCAGAGCAAAGTAAGTCTGCGTTTGCATTTATATTATAGTTTTTAGCCTGTACTAGTACATTAGCACATACCGAGACATATTTACAGCCATGACGGTAAAACGGACATAAAATGTTGTGGCTCCCAAGGTAGTTTCATTTTTGTTGAAAGGACAAAATGGCTCTTCCTAACATTTCGGTTGCCAACCCCTGAGCTAAGCCTACTAGTAAGGGGTGATCAGTGTGTGGGGCCAGCGTGTGTCCGTTAGTTCAAACTGTCTGTGGCTCAGTCAGGATTGCACAATCGCCATTATCTCAGTTAGTGGCCATGTTCTATGGTTCGAATTTTGTGCGGATTGCCTGAAGCCTGTAGCGAAATTTTAGCGAAAATTATCACTATAGCTACGCAAAAATTTGTAGGCGCTACAGCTATTAGCTACATTTCATAAAACTGTAGTGGCTACAGCTATTAGCTACAAAAACTTGTAGTTAGCTACAAAAAGTAGCAGGCTACTTAGCTTCTCCCTTACCCCGTGAACATTATTAACTTTAGCTATGAAGCGAATGCACATGTGCAGAGCGTACTTAAACTTTCCCATTGGGATTGTAATTGGATACAGGCGTTTACATGATTACCATTGTTCTATTTAACAGATTATTTACAGGATTACCCACCTCGTTCAATTGGATAGAAACTGTATTTCGCATGGCTTTAATTGGACTAGTCCAGAGGTGTAGCCGGACTTGTTTTACCAGCGTTTTTCGCACTTTCTTCTGAAAAGGACCTACAGCCGTATCCTCTTCGGTTACGTTAGTAAATCTGGTAGCTCGGTGGAGGCAGTGCTGGATTAGAGCAGCAGCAGCGCCTCCACCAGTTTACACCCGACTATCACAGAATGTTGTGAATTTGGACGCACAACGGTACAGCTGAGTAATGAAGAATGAACAAGAAAAAACTACTGATGGAATGAAAGTATGATGCACATTTATTCGAGTGGGCTAAATAACATTTAGGGGGCTGAAGCCCCCCTAAAAATAGCCTAGCGACGCCCCTGGCTAGAAGACAAGCGCAAGTTCACGGCCATAACTCTTCGCTGACGCAGAGGAGAGTGAGGCTCGCGGGCGCGCCTGGCGGAGGCGCAAGATGGACAACTTCTGTCTCTCGTTTTCCCCACTGAGAGCACGCGACGAGATTGATGGGTCTCCTGAAACGGGCGGCAGATTTCTTTATTTTCGGCACATATGCTTGTGGAAGCCCCTTACAGTGGAGTCCAGGGGAAGGAATCTGTCTTTAGCGTTGGTTAGTGATGCGCTACGAGCGCAGGCCTACGAGATGGGTCTATTTGGCACCGGCGCCCACAGTGCTGAGCATCACTCTGCTGCTGTCAGACAGCGGGGGGGCGAGGCGATATGAAATGTGGCGTCGCGGCCAACCCAAGAAATGCTCCCCATTATTTCCCAGTGTACAGATAAACCTGCTCTCAGACGCTGTAACTGACAGTGTAATTGAGGCGTCCGGGTCTCTACGAGTTCCACGCTCGAGCCAAACGGAGAGGTGAGAGGGAGTGAAGGAGGGTGGAGAGAGAGAGAGAGAGAGAGAGAGAGAGAGAGCCTCTTTCTCAGCAGCACATTGGCTCACCTTTTGAACGAACCTTTTGAATGATGAATAATGCAGAATAGGATGATTGTAGACTCATCTGAGCGTTGAGAGTAAGTTTGTCATCCAAACTTATATAAGAATATCTCATTAAGGAAGAAGCAGCACTGAGAAATCCAAACATCTGCTCAGCTACCTCTGTTTGTTTCTGTGATTTGAAACGAACGTCTGATTATACGATTAATCATTACTCTTTTGAATATGTATCAAATCTCTTACCCTCTCCGTGCTTCTTTCTCATATTCCGTGTTATTTATTTATTTGCTATTTTAACAGTGCTTAACAAAAAACTTTGGTGCCCCTTGAGTGCATCCCTTTGGGCTTACAGCTCCACCTAGTGTTCATCGTATGCATATTCACTCTCAGTAACCTCCCTTCCAGGCCAGGCTTCTTTATAAACATCCAGTCTATATAAGCTTGTGAGGCTTCTTATCACACTTAGCCAGTCTCTGCTGCCTTTCATTGGCCTGATAGATCTCTGTACATTTGCTTCAAAGGCTCTCCAGCTGAACTTGCTTTCTTAATCTCTCTCTCTCTCTCTCTCTCTCTCTCTCTCTCTCTCACACACACACTCACTCACACACACACACACACACACAAACACACACACACACACACACAGCTGTACTCACTTGTATGTGATGTTGCGCCTCTACTGGAACAGGCCTGCCAGCTCTCATACTCTCTGTAAACCAAGTGATGTCCACCACATTGGTATTGTCCAGGTGTGGAAGGCCCTGTTCCTGTAACCATGGCCACAGCTCCTGCCCCGGGTTGTCTTCGGCTACAACGTGAGTCACTTTAGCACTGCAAAGACCAGACATGGGCCGTCCTTGGCTTAGTTTCCCCCTGCTCACTTTTCAAAATTCTGTTTGCCTCCAAGGAGAAGGGCAGCCAGAGGTTGTGAGGGAAATCACTAAATAAGGTAGGTCTACTTTTGCTGCCCAGCTTTTGCAATCTAGATAATAGAAATATAATTATAATGGGTTGACTGATAAATGTCTATCTGAAGTTGACTACACCACTAATACAAGGATCAGTGATCTACACCCATTACCAGAGAACAGTCAATTAAATATTCAAAATCACTGAGAAAGAAGGAAAAATTATTTGTAAGCCATTTGATGAGAGGATAATTCATTTCCAACTTCACAGCGCCCCATCCAACTTGAAAACCAAAACTACGCCCTTGAGGGCAGTTAATTAACCCCTTAAATAGACGGGGCCCACCAGTGTGCCTAAAGTTTTATAACACACTTCTATAACCTATAAGTAGCTCAGCTAGTTTGCATTGAAGTCCCTGTAGTTACTGAATAATAAGCCTTAGTATTCAATGAGCCTCGGATTTTAAGACATTAACTCATATTTATGTTTAAACTTCCACTCCAAACAACAGAAACAGTTTCTCACTGCAGTGTGTTATAGCTCAAACAGCTTTCAGTCAACAGCACAAAGGAAGAGGTGGATTCCAGATAGTCAAACACTGAAATTTAAACAGAATTAAACAGAAGATGCTGCAAATGTGGAGTGGGAGAGTAAGAGAACGTTAACCACATTCTCAGGGTAGCCCTCACAATTTTCACCACTTGGCTAACATGAAGCTGCTGCCTGTCACACAGTGTTTGGAATATTCATATTATTTAAAAAAAAAAGAAAGCAGTTTTTAGCTGTCTATTAGATAATGCTAGGCTAGCCTGATGCAGGTGATAAACTGTGTTGTGACATTTTTGTTTTGCTTTTCTGTCAGTTTTTGTGGTGTCAGAGAGCCCTATCGCTGACATAACTAGCTAGCTAATGCTAACTATTCACACAAACATAACAAATTTGTTTTCATACACAATTAATCTGCTAATAGTTTAGCACCTGTAGCCTATAGCAAAACTGCCTAACTACTAGTTAGCTACATATAAACAAACTCTAATAAATGAGCTATATATATTCTTATAATCAATTCTAATCTTTGTAAAACATGAATATTACCAAAAAAAAAATGCTGGCATATGTGTGATACAGTAAGCTGTCTTCTGTAGACTTGCTGATTGTAACTGAGTCTAGCACAGTGGATCGATTAGACAAAGCTGAAGTTTCTTATTCTCATTTCCTGTTCCACCTTGCACAATGTAGTGGTAACATTCAGATGGCTGTCACTGCTGCACTACTTTAGGTGCAACAGAAATTCGGATAGAAGCTAACATCAGCAACATAAGCCTTGAGAGCTTGACGTATCAAATTCAGAGTGATGGTGAGAATCTGATACAACAGGCAGTGCCCAACCAAGTTCAGTAATTTAGCATTACCAATGTATTACCAAAACCAAGAGACCAAGAAGACAAGAAAAAGCTACTTGAGGAAAATGAAGACATATTCAAGCAAGAGGCCACATTAACCACTTAGTTAGCACTAGCTTGTAGCATATTGAATGTCATGATTGTCATACTTGTCACAAAAGATAAAGCATTTTATCACTAGCCAGCCGCCTTGGTCATCTCAGTGTAGCATATAAATAATATATGAGAGAATGAAATGAAAAAAGGAAAATGCACAGATTTTAGAAAAAGCTGTTTTGCATGAAGGCAATGCTGTGTGTGTGTGTGTGTGTGTGTGTGTGTGTGTGTGTGTGTTGTAGGAGAAATAGAGTTTGGGGTATGTCGGTCTGCATCATGTAACTTCCGGTCTGAAAATAAGTCCCTAACTCCAGCCTGGTGCTCTTACTTTCACCATTTGTCACTCAGGAATGCATGAAAACTAAAATATGTTATATCTTAGTGTTTGAGCGCTGTGGTACACTACAATGACATATCACTTCTACCGCGGTTGTTTGAAGCGGTGATTAAACACCCATAAATATAACTCATGAAACCTCTTCTTAGTAGATAGTATTCAAATGTAACATTTGATATGCCATGCAACTACTGAGACTCTCTTAATGTTCTGCTACATATTTTAGCTCCACACAGAGTTTTAAATGTCTGCCCCATGTCTCTGCAAGGCCTTAGTGCCATTAATCTTCTTACTTATCCTTTTATTCCACGCTCACTTATTTCGACTATTTATTTCCAACATTCTGTCATCACTGTGGAAACATGAGCACCAGAGAATTCCCATCACTGAAAACAGAAGCCGTTTTTTGCGGGAGACTGAAGAAAGCCAGCAGTCAAATCTCTCTCACACACACCTACATAAACACACAAACATCCGCCACAGCCATCCCGTGTGCCAGCCGCCCTTGTTTTTGTTGCTTTGTTTAATTACAGTGCCAGTGAGAGCAGTCACCCGTGCATAATTACCCCTAGTGTACAGCTCCGCCACTAAAGTCCCAGAGAGGTAGAATAGTACAACAGCCACAACTCCCCGGACGTTCCAATTGGAAGAGATAACGAAAGAGGCAGGAGTGTGTGGGCATGTGAGTGTGTGTTTGTTTGTTTGTTTGTGTGTATTTAAGTAATCCGATGAACCGCAGGTGAGCCAAATCCCTTGCAGAGAAGTTCCTCTCATTTTGCTGTTTCATTGTACAAAGAGAGGAACTGCATAAACCACAGGCCTTTTTTTCAACAAATATTAAGCCCAAATAGACTGCAGCCTATTTTACATGTGCAGTAGTACTTAAGCTCTGCAGAATCTTGTGTTCTCTGTGTTTTAAACTTGATCTGTCTTTGTCTCTGGTAGATAACAATGGCTATGAGACCTGAAAAAGCCACAGACTGACGTATAAAGGCGTAACACAGCAAATGCAGTTTCGGTCATAACTGAGTTATGATTGTAATCAAGTGTGGGAAGTTTTTTTTAAACAAAACAGGGTGTGAACATTTCAGTAACACATTTGCTTTCTAAGTTTCATTACTCGTGTTGTTTCTGCTCTTTTATAGGGCAGCATATGTGACCCACTATTATAAACACCTACTGTATTTAGATTGTGGATTCATGGTGGAGTCAGCGTGAGGCTAATACCTCCAAAGACTCTGGAGTGAACTTTTAATCTCTCACAGGTAATCCTTTACTTAAAAAGTCATTTACTGATGAGTTTTGGACCACTTCTGATGTTTCCAATGTGCCTCCTTAAAATTAAACTGGTTTTGTACATTAAATGGTCAAATACTGTCCACTCCATTTGGTCTTTTTGATGTTTAAACCCTCTGAAATTAAAGCTGTAACATTCCCTGCCTCTTCCTTCTTTATCCCAAAGCCAAACGTAACTATTGTTATCTGTATTTGATCAGTAGCATAAATAGCAAAAAGAAAATAGGTTCTCTAGGCAAAAAGAATAGGTTCTACAGTCCATATTTGTAAACATCTGATCAGATATTACTTGTACAATTGCTGTTCAAATAAGTTTGTATTAATGATGGGTAGGACGAGGTAGAAAGTAGCTTTTGATGGTATTTGTAATATAATTGAGTCACAGCCATTTTACTTTAGCTTCACTTTATTTCTTTTTTAAATGACTACTGCAAGGTTAAAAAGCTGTTCACAATGCAGCTTTAGCTGTTTGGCTAAAGTATTCTTAATAATCTTTAAACGTTGTCATTTTAGAACAACAACCATGGCTGCTCTTTATTATGTTTACTTTTTATGTCCTTATAAGTATCTGTTAACTGTTATGTTAGCTAACTTAGTTAACGTAAGCTAACGCTCAAGGTAATCCAATACTTAGGTAGCTAGCCTAGCCCATAATTGCAGTTATGAGCATTAAAGCTTCTTTCAGTGAAATAAAGTAAATATTTAATTTATGTAAAATACCACATTTTGGTTATAAAAAGTGCGGTATCCTAACCTTACTAAAGTTTTTTTTTATTGAGTGAGAAAATGCGAATTGCTAATGCTAACAGCTAGCAGTGAGCTGTAGGTGTCTTGGAAACGTTGTGTATTACTGCCTTCAAAGCCTTGCAAACACATTAGCCGCTTTTCCACTGTCGGGTCAAATGGTTCTCAGGGTCGTAGTGAGCCGTTCCACGCTGTTCCGGACTTGCGAGACTGGTTATGGTTTCTGTTTACATCTGTTGTACTGCTAAATCATAACCAGGAAATACCCAAGAAAAATAAGCAGACGAGTGACTAACTGCTAACAGGCTAATAGCCATGCACACATCACACACCACAACATACGTTTGATTCCATCTGTCCTTCCAACTCCAGTCTCTCGGCACGCTCTCATCTTCTGTATCCTCTAAACGGGTGTTATTTAAGCATCTGTTACTGAAACAGCCTGTACTGTGGAGGGTTTCACCTGTAGCAGGGTAACTAGCTACATTAGCGTCGCCTGGCAGGGCACAGATTATAGCACCACAGAACAGTTCTATCTTAATCTTTCTGTCACTTCTACACCAGTCATTCTCATTTGTGCTCTCAGATATGAGCCTCTATCCTCTACATGGTTGTTTTTAATCATCGGTTCGCTAGAAACGAGCCTGTACTGCAGTGGGAGGCACCGTACTTAGCCTAGCAGGCTATAGCTTAAAGCGTTACAAAACAGGCTCGATTTCAGCTTTCTGTCACTCCATCATCAGTCAGTCGACTTGCTCTCGCTGTTGTAAGTTTTTATCATCTATACTTGTGATAGCAGAGCATCGGTTAGTCAACTCGAACTTGCACTGGGGTGTTCGGTTATCTTCAGCTATGCTAAATTAACTAGGAGAGAGGAGCCGGTTAGCATTAGCTAAGCTACCTTGGAGGCTCTAGCTCCAGATGCTAGAGAACAGGTTTAATTTTGGCTTTCTGTCCCTCTAACATCAACCGCTTGACTTCGCTTCCTCAGAGCTGAGTCATTAACATCTAACCTTGTGTCAGTAAAGCTTTAGTCAGAATCGAAACCTTTTCTGTGGCGAGCAGAGCTGGCAGCATGCCAGCTAAGTTAATGCTAACCAGTTACTCTCTCCTGATTATCTGCGCTGTTTAATATTAAGAAATTGTGATGCTTTGACATTTATTAAATGGCAGATTTAAAATCGTGCACTGCTTTCACTGCTTTTTATTTGTTTGAACTAATGCAGCAGGATGTGGTGAACCGTGTCCATGTGGAAACGCCACTAGAACAGTTGACGTTACCCTCTGTGCTCAGAGCCATTCGGCCCTGCAGTGGAAAAGAGACCATTGTAAACCTACTTAAACTATGCTAGAACAGCTGTGGCTACCCTGGCTGGTTAAAATGCAAGGAATTCAATACACACATTAGCAAATGCCTCAGGTTAATAATTCTAAGAATAACAATATGAAGCACATTAATCCTCACCTGTAGTGATCCAAATGATTGATTTGTTGAGTTTTCTAATAGATTTCAAATTTGAAATGAGAGCGTGATTAGGCATGCGGGCTGCAGTGGTGCAAGTAGTTGATGTGCTGAACAGCACACTGATTCAACCTCAGGAACTCACCTTAAGCAGCATTTAAATAATGCTCTCCAAACTCTGCTGAAGGAATGCATTTAGGAAGATGGGTCTGGTTTTTATCATTAATAATTCCTTAGTCAGCACAAGAGTGTTTGAAAACAGCCTGCTGATGAAAATGTTTTGCCTGATCGAAGTGTCGTTTTAGACAGCGAAGTAAGATTCAGATAACTAAGAAGTATTGCATACAGAATTATATTTTAAAATAAGCCTGTATAAAGCAATAGTAAGGCATTGTCTACTCTTATAATGAGTCAGTGTAGATAACATGAGGTGAAACCTTAGCTAAACAAATGTGGCAAGTGTAAAATATTAAAATATAGAATATTGTTTCATCTTATGTAATCTGATTATCTAGCTTCTCAGAAGCCTCAGAAGTCTAGGACATTGATTTCCTCAATGAAAAAGTCCTGTGGGTAAGTCACCACTTCCACACCCACCCCAACTAGCCCCCCTGTCTTTCACATTGAAATTTCAGCAGTGCTCTGTACAAACATAAAACCAATGCCAGGCCTTCTGCTTTTGTCTTGTCTTCAGTGTAGCCCATAGATGTGTGTGTGTGTGTGTGTGTGTGTGTGTGTGTGTGTGTGTGTGTGTGTGCATTTTAATCCATTTTGTTTTCTCAGTAACACCAGTGGGATTTAGAATCGGCCAATGTATTATCAAACCGCCACTGATATCTAATCCTCACTGGCTTGTAAAATGTCAGTTTGCGTCTCTTTCAGCCTGTTTCCTGTGGTTGGCTTTAGACAATAGCTCATTGGGTGTTGGGGTGCTGTAGGAGTTCAAGCTGCATTTCTGGGAATGGTGCCATCCCTCAGCTGTGCATGGCACACTATGCCACAGTGAGTTGCTGGCTGCGGTTATGCCAGCCTGCTGAAAACAACTCCCACTGCTGCCAATAGCCAGCTGTGCAGGCCTGGCACCCACCACCAACTGGCAGAAAACAGGCTAGTATCAGCCCCAGCCAGGCAGGACTACCGTCCTCAGCTAGCATCCAAAGGCATGCAGAAACCCAGATAACAAAGCTTTGAAACAGAGGAGGACTGGGAGCCATACCCTCATTTTATTGTGGGTGACACTTTATAAGTGCTGTCTTTGACATGTTCTTACAGGCTGTTCCATGTGCAATCAGCATTAAAAGAGAATGAAATTAGATGTTTCACCACCTTACAATTCATGTGCAAATGTTCTCAGTTTTCAGAGTTTGCAAGTGTCATTTCTTCAAGCAATCGGTTGATTGTAGCAGCTAGTTACCCTGTCACACCTCGCAGAGACTGATAGATTTTCATCTTCTTTGTTATTATGCTGTCATAATTTCTGTGTTCTTAGAAACTAGGCAACATACCTTCACATTATCATTATGATTTGCATAAAAATTGAACACGCTTCAGACTGGCAGCTTGTATAACACTGTATGAAAAAAATTCTTAGAGAAGTACGCCTCGCGTCAATCAAATAAGCAACTAATCAACATTTCCTGGAGTAAAGGCTTACAATGTATGACTAAAACCGCAGTTCTAACCAAGCCAGTGAACTGTGCCTGGTCATCCACCATGTTTAACCCCTAAGGCTTATTAATGGCTTATTATTCAGTATGAGGTTAACCGCTTGACATTTCAGGCTTATTACATACTAAGGTTTATTATTCATTAACTACAAAGACTTCAATGCAAATTAATAGAGCTTTTCTTAGGTTATAGAAGTGAGTCATTAAACCTTGGGCCCGCCAACAAGCCCATGGCTTTGTAAGCGGTTAAGTGGTTGGTAGACTGGGTTTTGATTCCCCATTTTAACAAGTACACCAGCCTCTACCAACAAGAGTTCTTGCGCAGCAAGCTAAATTCACTGACCTGTGTAAGCATGATTAAACTGTAAATCGCTCTGGATTAAAGCATCTGCCAAATGCCATAAATGTAAATGTAATTGTAATTTGGTGTCATACCTCAGGGTGTCATCCACACAGAAGCCCTTTGACCTGGCCAAGCTGGTCAGGAAATTCCTCCTGCTTGTCCCCATTCTTCTCTCTACAAGGTACATGGTCACCTCCTCAAACTTCATTCCCTGTTGAGGATGAACAGGGGTTGATTCAGGTCGCCGGCGTTTCCTCAAAAGAGTCGAAAGGGTCGTCTGAAACATCTTTGCAGAATTTTTGAATATTATTAGCAGTATTTGAAGACACTTTCAGATTGTGACAGTAATATTGTGGTTATGCTTTGTCAATGATACACTCAGAGTAGACCCCTCTCCTGCAGTGGTGATGGCATCAATGTCTTATTTTTCTTTGAGGGAGAGAACTGGCAGTTGGCGTGGTGGAGTGTGTGTTTGTAACTTGGCATAGAGGAAGAGAGACTAGAAACAGGTGTTTCTGATTTGGCACTCATTTTAACTACCAGGGTTAAGTAATGGAGATAAATGGAGAAAACAGAAGAGGGATGTTAAGGGGCTAGGGGGGTATAATATTCATGTAAATGTGGTTAAAGTTACTAAAGTGCAAAAGATCATTTCTCCGTATGACCTGTGTATAAAAGAGAACGATATGCTATGAACTGAGCAAAAAAAGGAACAGTGAATATGACCAGTGGAAGTGGAAGTGTGTAGCTACATCATGAATCTATGTGGGATAGAGACTGGTCATGCTGGGCTTGTCTGACTGAGACCTTGTTCTGCCTGTTTCTCTTGGGGGTTTTGGGTAACTCATCGCCATTATAGACCTTCACAGCTGTCCAGTGATGTCCAGCAGCTTCCCCCCACACATTGCCCATATGTGGCCCAGCACCTTATCCTGTTCCCGCTAGTTCGTCCATCTGCTCCAGCCAACTAATGAGCACATCATCGAAGATGGAACCCTTCATTAGCTACTCAGTAGCCACAAAGCAACATATGTGGGAATAGTCAGTCAGGGCCTTTTTGCTCTCTTTATTCCTCAGCTTCTGTCTTCAATATTTCATGTTTCCTGCATCTATGCTTTGCTTCTTCTTCTGGGGCTTCTTACCCTTGGTTCTCTTCCCTGTCTTCTTCTTTCTCTTCCATTTAAGGATGCTGAAACATGAACTCACAGTGTGACACTCATCTCACTCCTGCTATCAAGGCAGGTGCAAAGCATGACACAACTTGTGTGTCAAAACAAATAACAGAGAAACGTTTACAGTGTATATAGAGCAAACTCATTGCCTTTTTCAAAGCCTTAGCTGTAATTAGAGCTTACAATTAACATCGGAAAAAATATAATTTGATGGAATTGGATTTCATTTCTAATACAGCCTCATGGAATTTATTTCATATGGTAAACCAACAGTTACTCTCCTACATCTGTCTCCTTCACTTTGAATGCTCTTGTTTTGTCAAAACTGACAAACATGGAATTTTTAACGTCAGACTACCCAGTTGTAGTGAAGACAGACAAAAGACACTGTGTAAAAATAGACATTGAAAACTAGTTTAAGCAGATTTCCATAATCAATAGCAGGAAAACAATATATTAACACACAAACTAATCTGAAAAATAACATTCTTGCACTCAGTTTGATGACTTGCCTACAATTACACACATATATTGTGAAATAGATACTAGACCATGAGAAGATGCTAGAGGTGTTGTGTAAAAACTCTAAACACACTTCTGTAGGAAAGAACCCTCAAGCACAGAACTTGCTATCAAAAACAGAAAGATTTAACTGAGCTGAAATAGAACTGAGCGTAGAAAAAGACATGACACCGGATCACTGTCAGTCACTTTGCCTATGCCCCAACTATAGAGAGCTGATGACTAGCTAGCTTCATTAAACTGCGTGTGTGAGTGTGTGTGTTAAACAATGATGCTAGGACTCATTAGCTTGGTGCTGTGAGGTTAACTGGTGCCACGCTGTTGCTTTTGTGCAATTGTTTGCCCACTTCCTCCCAATCTCTCATCTGTGCGCTTGGGTTGGCTTCCATCCAAAATAAAACCCAGCCTGGCTGACAAATGGCCTAACCCTGTACACGTGCAGCACAGGAGAAATATCTCCACCATACAAACACCTCACCCTGGGTTAACCTTTCTCTGTAAGTATTTGATACGACATAACCTGTCTAGCTTATTATGTATCAGTTGCTTTACTTAATGTACAGTGTTTCTTTATTAGGACATGCATTACACAGACACATTATTAGTTAATAGTAGTAGTCTGCAGTTATCTTAGTACTTTAACTACGTTAGCGTTATTATTCTGCCATTATCTCTGCTAGAATTATATATACATACTGTATATATATAAAATAACAGTTAAAAAGCTACTTAATTGTGCAGTAAGTGTTTATCTGCTGATAGAAAAATAAAGCATGTATTCCTTGCTGGTTTAAGCTGGTTTATCTGGTCGCCCATTGCAGTCATGCTGGACTTGACCTGCAGTGACACTGACGTGGTGGTGGCATGTTATGCGTGTGTTGCACTGTTATGGGTGGATCAGACACAGCAGTGCTGCTGGAGTTTTTAAACACCTCAGTGTCACTGCTGGACACTGCTGGAATAGTCCACCAACCAGAAATATCCAGTGTCCTGTGGGCAGCATCCAGTGACCACTGATGAAGGACTAGAGGATAATCAACACAAACTGTGTAGCAACCAATGAGCTACTGTCTCTGACTTTACATCTATAAGGTGGACCAACAAGGTAGGTGTGACTATTAGAGTGGACAGTGAGTGGACACTGGGTTTGAAAACTCCAGCAGCACTGCTGTCTCTGATCCACTCATACCAGTACCAGCAGTGTCACTGCAGTGCTAAGAATGATCTACCACCCAAATAATACCTGCTCTGTGGTGGTCCTGTGGATGGAAATAACCCACAGCATGCTACTCAGTTTAACACTACCAGCACGTCATGTCCTGTGATAGCTGAGCCCTGATCAGAAATGAAAGCACAGATATAGACTTGCTTAGAAGTCAAGCAAGGTATATTTTAGCCCTATGTGTGTTTCAGGCTCTACCTCAAAGCGCTCAGTTCTGCATCTAAGCATGACATGAATATTTTGTAAGTGAGCGCTTGCGACCGTGCTGTGCCTTTCATTTCCTTTTCTGGTGTCGCTCTAGCTGAGCTTTTAAAGGGTGACGTTCTGCCAAATCACATGAAGAAACACTAGAAATGTGAATGACTTAGCTCAGGCTTAGTCGACCCAAACAGCAGAGGGTCTTTAATGAAGAAGTGTGTGAAGGTCACCTAGAATATAATGCTTGTGGTCAACATGTTCTTTCTTAATGTATAGGAAAATAGTAAATTGTGTAAGCCAGGGCAACTCCAGGAGCAGATTTGGGAACCACTTACCATAAAGAGAGAGAGTTAGTTAGAGAGACAATCACAGGGGTAAGAGGAACTTCCCACACTTCCCACGTTCTGTAAAGCTTGGTTGCAGCATACTTACAGTAAAACCCCTCCGGTCCAGCAGTTCCTTTCAGAGCAGTTTGTAATCTCTCTGTGGAGTAGCTGAGGCCGAGATGAGCCTGCCAACCAGGGAGCAGTTTGAGGAGTGGAGTCCAGCACAGGTGGCTAGCTACCTGTCTCAGGTAAGTGGGCAGAAAAGTTCTCCAAGAAGTCGTCTGTACTGGGCTTAAAGGGATACTCCAGTGTTTTCTGTACTAACCTCTATCTGCCACATCTGTAGCATTCGGACGATTAGCACAGATCATAATTTCACTGTACTTATTAAAGAACAGAAAGACAACTGACTCAAAACACACTTATTAAAAAGGTTATTCACCTCCACATTGGCTTCTACTCTAAGTGTGTGAACAGATTTTCTGGAAAAAGCTTTGAAATTATTGTCAGTGGTAAATGAATAAACACTACAGATTCAGCAGGTGGTGATTAGGCTGACAAACACTGGAGTGAACTGGAATTGTTTACAATTCACTTAGAAGTGCAAAATGATCTTCAAATTAGCAGAAAAGGTGGTGAAGTTCATTTCAGTCTCATGAAAGAAAGATCTGTCGTCAGGGTGAAGATTCCCATGACTTGTCACCAAATGTGAACTGCTTTCGATGTACAGTGCGTGTGGTTAATGTAGAAATGAAATGCTGTGCCTGTTTCTCGCAGAATAAGATGAGAGAATGTGCCATGACAGTGCAGAAAATGAAGATTGATGGCCGCTGGTTTCTGGTAGGTAGGAATTTCTGGTGATCAGTAATTATTTTGACTGTTCTTTCCTTTTCACCTCCAAGGTTACTTGCATGATCTACAAAGAAAAAAGTGATGCATTGAATTTACTTGATTGAAATGTGAACTTTATTTCAGCATGGATAAAATATATCAACCCAATTCTGTCCTTCGGGTCACTTACTTTTGGCAATATTTGTGTTAACAATGTTGATATTGTTCATATGTTAGTCAGGTGGAAATTGCAAATACAGTGTACCACTTTTCCAGTGTAATATCAGTGTCACTGGAAGATAATAATGATTTAGTTACTGTACTTGGAGGACTACACATGCTGGCATGGCTAATAATGACATAATGCTAACTGGTACAATGCTACGCCTTTTATCTCCCCAAACCAAGCAATCAAAAACACTGAACACCTGATACAGATGTGCCAGAAGCTGGATTGACCAAAACATATGAACTGTCTGGTCCCCAAAGACTTAACTAGACTGTTCTATTCCACTGCATTTTGAATGATAAATTTTCCTCCACTACATCTTCCCTAAGGCACGTAGTTACATTTCAGAAAAATGGCAATTCCCTGCTCCCAGTCCCTTTAGATTAATATATAAAACTTTCCATGGCACATACTGTTTGTGAGCTTTGTTGCCATTTGTGAGCAGAAGCTTTTAATGATGTCTGCAGATTTAAATACACAACATGACAGAAATTGATCTTAAGGTTAAGGACATGTTTAGGGTTAACACAATAAGCAGTTTTGAAAATCGAAAAATCAGAACAAAGTTGTCACTAAATATCAATATTCACATTATTTAAAACAAGTATTTTGTAATAACACATTGAGTACATCTAAGTTTCCAGTTGCTCTAAAGGGGGTGACAAAGCCCAAGGCCTTTTTACATTGAGTCTAATTTTACACACACAAGAAGCATGTTTTTGCTTTTTGGTTTGGCTCAGGCAGTGCTTCAAACTTCTATGTGAGTCAGTGATAAACTTTCAAAAACTTTGAAAACTGGATAGCAAGTTAACATTTTTGGTCACATGTCTGTAGTGTCTTGTGGAAGCCCAAATGTTACCACTTTCTGTTCTGTAAAGTAATTTAAAGCTGCACTGTGTACAATTTGGGGATTTGGGATGTGTAATTGCACGCAATGTGAGGAAAACGTTTTGTACTGTTGGTTGCGCCTCCCCGAGTGGATGGATGTGATGATTGCGAGCATGCTGAAAGAGTATTAAAAAAAAACTCAAAACTCGGTGAAACATGTAAAGACAAATGAATTGTCTGTTATTGACATCATTTCTTCATCAGTATATTGTTGATTTTGCATTTGACACCTAAACGAGCCAGACCTTCTTTTTGAGCCTGTGATGTAAAGACACATGGCATGGTCCAAAAACCCAAGTGAAATTTGATTTATAAATGACTGCTTCAAGCTTTAAATATGACTTGCAGCACAAAGGCACCATATTTTAATAGCAGTGGCATTCAGCGCACTACGCTACACAGTCATGATCCAGTGCTAGCAGAAGAGCAGTACAGGATAAATCTGCACTCTCGTTTGATAATTAATTTCATAATTCCGACATTGGGTATGTGTACTACTTTGTCATAATTAAATTAGTTAGCTCTCTTGCTGGTTCTAAAATATATGCTAGTAACTGAATGTTATTAGCATAGTAATATAACTTATCTGTCAGACTCTAAGATGATTTCTGCTTTCACACACACTCACACAAATGTCTACGTTTACTTAGTTACCAAGTGTAGAGTCAAGCAAAATGTACATTTTCTCTTGGAAATGTAAAAATATAAGCAAAACCACCTGTTCTCAGGCTCGTAGCACGCATGCTAATAGTGTAGGCATTCTTGCTTCTGAGCTAGCTAATGGTAACATGAACTCTTTACTCTGTACAATCACCATACTAGTGCTTCGTGACTGTATCCTCATATTGTTACTGGAACAGTTAAAAATAGCTAAATGAAGCTGCTTACACAGCAAGATGAAGGAACAATTCCAACTGAAGTCAGACACAGCTTGTGCTCAAATTGTGCTCAGCACCATGTAATTTCACATGTTATTAGGTTTTCATAAGACCCCTGATGTATTTCAGTGAATGCGATCCTGCTTTCTTCCATTATTTGTTAGCCTTGTCTTGGTGGTGTTGGTGGTATTAGGGCAGCATTTAATGGTGTATATAAAGGTGCACATCTGCTGCTCGTCTTGGCCAATGCTTGCATATACATATTTCAACAATGGTCGCCAGGCAGTCAGTCAGTAACTCAGTGTCTCAGTAAAGTGAACCAACTCTCGTAGACAAACATGCATCAGAGCAAAAGTTTCAGTGTGTCACATCAGTCCTTGTCATCTGTGAAAATCCACTCAATGTGAAAAGATCTCATGACGACTAAACATGAAACTATAACTAAGGAAGAAAAATGATTGTTTCTTTTATCAGTTCCACTTACTATATAGGTGCAGTTTGTAGTTCTACCCTATTCCTTAATGGTCAGGACCATCACAGGACCACCACAGAGGGGGTATTATTTAGGGGGTGGATCATTCTCAGCACTGCAGTGACACTGACGTGGTGGTGGCGTGTTAGTGTGGTGGTAGTGCTGGTAAAAGTGGATTAGAGCAGTGTTGTACAGCAGTGTTGCAGGAGTTTTTAAACACTGTGTCCAGTCACTGTCCTCTTTATTAGACACACTATGTAGGTCCACCATGTACCAAGTCAGAGACAGTAGCTCCTCTGTCGGTGCACATCTTGTATTAGTCATCCTCTAGACCAAGGGTACACAACTCCGGTCCTGGATGGCTGGCATCCAACCCAACTTGCTGATTTACCAGCTCAAACACACCCGACTCAACTCATCTGTTAATTGCCAAGTGTAATGGGTGTTTGAGTAGGGAAACTACCAAACTGTGCTGGACACTGGCCCCTCCAGGACCAGAGTTGTGCACCCCTGCTCTAACACACACACTAACACGCCACCACCACATCAGTGTCACTGAAGTGCTGAGAGTGACCCGCCACCCAAATAATACCTGCTCTGTGGTGCTCCTGTGGGGGTCTTGACCATTGAAGAACAGGGTAAAAGGGGGCTAACAAAGTATGCAGAGAAACAGATTACTACAGTCTACAGACCACAGTCTGTAACTATAGAACTACAAAGTGTACATATATGGTAAGTGGAGCTGATAAAATGGATAATAAGTATAGAAACCATGCAGTGGTTTTAATGTTATGGCTGATCGGTGTATATTTCAATAGAAAAAAAGCCATAAAGTTTTGGCACTAATCTTTAATTAATCTTGTCAACAGCTATTCTATCCACCTCTTTTGTCCATTTAATGTTCAAGGCGGTAGGCATTAGATCGAGAGGTTTTGTCAGTTGAAACTGCCGTTACAGTGATGACATGAATTATAATAAAAAAAGATGAGAAAGTAAATGTACACAATTACAGAAGTGATGTTACAGAATGAAGGGACTTCCTTCAATAGGAAATGTGCAAATCGTGTTTTATGATGAGATCACAGATGAGGACATCCTGTCCCATGACATGCTTTATTTAGCAAGACATTTAGCAAAAAGATTTATTCAAGCATATACTGGTCAGTCTGGTGGTCAGTCGCTCAAAACAAGCTGAGAATATAGCATAGTATGTAAAGTGAAATTAGGAAGTGTTAAGCCACTAAAAGTCATTATAACGTGTCTCTTAAGCACTGTGGAGGCTTCCTTTCAGTGAACTTGGCTCTTCTCACCAGAAGCAGAAGCATTAGCTAGTAAAAGTCTTAAACATTGCAGACCTTTCCTTTAAGCAAACAAAGCTTTATTTGTGTTACTGCTAAAGCATCTATGCAACAAGCATATTTTGTTCAATACAAGATGGCTTATACAGATTCCTATGAATTTTTAATCACAATGCAATAAGATAAGAGCTCTTTGAAACTGTATAAAGATATTTGTGGCCCAGCTTTTCCTCTTTCTTTTAAGAAATACACAACCATTAATGAATATCAAATGAGTTCTGTTCTCCACTCACCAGGACTAAAGTCAGAACTGTCAGCATACAATACCAATCAAAAGTTTGGGCACATCATTAAATGTAATCATTAAATAATTTTAAAGAAATGTTGATCTAAAGGCTTATGTTTAAGTGCTTAAAGCTTATTTCTAAGATAAATATAAATTAGTTTGTTTTGAATTCATTGTTTTTGTAATGTCAAAAAGCCAAAGCATTTACATTTATCCATTCATCCATCTTTATTTAGCTCTGCCCAGTTCACACTGAAGTTATAAAGAGTGTTTTAGCCTGGACTGCAATACAGGACAGCCAGTCAGAATGAAGCCTTATGTCCCAAAAAAAGTAACTTTACAGGAGAAGAAAAAAAACTTCTTAATTTTTAATGTAAGTTAAAAAAATTATTCTAATAATTTTTGACTGCATATATATATATATATATATATATATATATATATATATATATATATATATATATATGTGTACACTGATCAGGCATAACATTTTGACCACCTCCTTGTTTCTACTTACTATATAGGTGCACTTTGTAGTTCTACAATTGCAGACTGTAGTCCATCTGTTTTTCTGCATACTTTGTTAGCCCCCTTTTACCCTGTTCTTCAGTGGTTAGGACCCCCATGGACCCTCACAGAGCAGGTACTATTTGGGTGGTGGATCATTCTCAGCACTGCGGTAACACTGACATGGTGGTGGTGTGTTAGTGTGTGCTGCGCTGGTCTGAGTGGCTAACAAAGTATGCAGAGAAACAGATAGACTACAGTCTGTAATTGTAGAACTACAAAGTGCACCTATGTAGTAAGTGGAACTGATAAAATGGACAATGAGTGTAGAGACAAGGAGGTGGTCATAATGTTATGCCTGATCGGTGTCTGTATATATACATATATGTATATATGTATGTATGTATGTATGTATATAAACATTTGTTTATTTATTTATATACATATATTT